GCTCGCCCCCCTCGGCCCACTTGTCCTCCGCCCCGCGCGCCTACGACTCACACACACCAATGCCGTTGTCTTCTAGCACCCCCCCCCCCCCCCCCCTCGGCTCACGTGCTCTCGCGCCTCCTCCTTCTCGTACGAGTCGTACCCGTAGCCCGTCGTGACGAAACGCAACAGCACGCCGTCGGGCAGGTCCGCCACAGTCACCTATTAGTTACGACTCACTCTTGACGATGCAGAGGCAGCACGCCGTCGGGCGATCCCGCCACAGCCACCGGCGTGGGGAGGCCCTGTCCAGGGCGCAGCAGCTGCCGCGCAAACTCGCGCAGCCAGGAGGCGGCCTAAGGGAAGGGAAGGTAAGGTAAACTTCTCCACACACGCGAGGTGGTGGGGCAAGGGCCAAGCGACCCTCGCGTCTCCACGTCTAGTCGACAGGCGCCCCACGGCATCCAAAGTGCACGGCCCAGTGCGCGTGGGTGAGGTGTGTGTCTAGAGGAGGCGGGGCCTCGTGCGGCGTCACTGCCTCGAGCGGCCGGCGGTAGATCTCTGGCCCGACGAGCTTGAGCCACTCGTCGTCGAGGCCTATTGATTAATTAATTAATTAATTAATTAATTAATTAATTAATTAATTCACTAAGCTTCAGCCACTCGTCGTCGAGGCCTATCGCTGCGGGTCGGGCTGCGGTGCGCCACACCGCACTGTGCTAGACCGGCTCGAGGAGCGCGTCGTGGAGGCCTATCGCTGATCACATGTCACAGTACATCACTGATGACACTCAGGCCAGCTTGCGCCACTCGTCGCGCAGGCCGGCGCCCGCGGCGGCGGCGGGCGGGGGGGAGGAGGAGGAGCGCGGCGCGGCGGAGAAGGTCGCGTTGACCTACACGGCACAGCAGCATGCACGGGAGTCACACAAGGCTGGCACCGCACTCTTCCTTCACACCATCAGCTGCGTCGGCCGACTCGGGCCGTCGCAGCGCCTCGACCAGCACGGCCGCCGCGTCAGCAGTGCTCATCTCGCCCGACAGCGCGTCCCCGGGCGCGAGCTCGACGGAGGGGGAGGAGGCGGAGGCGGAGGCGGAGGCGGAGGCGGAGGAGGAGGAGGCGCGTGGCGATGGCTTGAGCTTACCGAACCGGGCGATGGAGTGGCCGGGGAGGGCCTGCCGCGTGTAGCAACGGGCGGTGCTCGTGACACAATAACTGACGATACTCATCATGACTGGGTGGGGAGAGATGGGGAGAGATGGGGAGATATAAGACTCGCCACGCCCGGGCGGCGAGGGGGCCTTCCGGGCGGCGAGGCAGCGAGCGCACGAAAAGAGTGCCAGCGAAGTGAGGCTACGAATGAGCGGGCGGGCGGGCGCCTTCCGGGCGGCGAGCAACGCCTCCTGCTCCAGCGCGCGCTGCTTGTCGAGCTTCCCACCGAACATGTTCTCCTACCATCAGCGGCGCCCCCCGGGGTTGGCGCCGAGCTAGAGAGGTGCTCCGGCGCTGCCACCCAAACGTGGTCTCCATCGAGAAGGGCAGCGCGTTTGTCCGGTCGACACCTGTCCTCAACGCGGACGCATCAATGGAGCCGCTGGAGTGGGAGCTGGGACGGAGCGTCCGGTGGTCGACGCGCCGTGCGTCGAGACGAGCAGCAGCCGGCGAGTGCGCGCGGGGAGGGCCTTGAGCAGCCGGCCGACCGCCTTGGGCTCGGCGCCGCCGCTGCCGCACGCCCCTGGCGGGGGCGCGCAGTCAGTGTGAGGGAGGGGAAGGGGAGGGCGCACGCCCCTGGCGAGGGCACAGCCAGCGAGTATGAGGGTGGGGAGGGGGAGGAGACTCCGATGTTGAGTTGTGCAGGACTCCGCAGTGATGCGGGCGCTCCTCCCCTACCTCGCTATGGAGCCGAACCCACCTTCCGAGAGGACGAGGACGGCGTCTGCGTCGGAGAGCGAGCGAGCCAGCGCGCTCGGCGTGAAGGGCGAGAACGGGCGGACCTGGCGGGACGAGATGCGGCCGAGATGCGGCCGAGATGCGGCCGAGACATCTCCGAGATACAACCGAGACCATCTCCGAGAGACAGCCGAGAGACAGCCGCGATATGGCGGACCTCGACGCCGAGTGCGGCCGCCGCGCCGCCCTCCGGCTCCGTGCACAGAGCCGCCACCTCCCACCCCTCGCCTATTTCACACTCCCTCGCCGTCGGCGAAGAGAACGCACACACAGCCGCCACCTCCCGCCCCTCGCCTATTTCACACTCCCTCGCCATCGGCGAAGAAAGAACGCACACAGAGCCGCCACCTCCCGCCCCTCGCCGGAGGCGGCGAGCGCGTCGCAGAGGGCCGCACCGAGCTCGGACTCGGCGCCTAGTGAATGGTCAGTGAGGCTGCAACCGTCGGTAGCAAAGAAGGGTCGCCCCGAGGTCGGTCTCTCGGCGCCTAGTCAATCGGAACCAGCAGCAGCAGTCACAGAAGCAGGCAACGACCGGCTCCAAGCTCGGCCTCGGCGCCGACGACGGCGATGCGCGAGCCCGGCGTCAGCAGCGCGCGGCGAGGGTCCGCAAAGTCCAGCTCCGAGTCGCGGGATGCGGCGGCGGCGGCGGCGGCGGCGGCGGCGGCGGCGGCGGGCTCGGCGGCGGCGGCGCTCGCTCGCAGCTTATCGACGGCGGCGTCGATCTTGGCCATGGCCTCGGCCTTGACTGAAGTGAGCTCCGCCTCGAGGCGCGATTCGAGCTCGTCCTGTAGCTTTGAGGCCGCGTCGGCGAGGTCGCCTACCCGCAAGGCTTCGGGAGGGCTCGCGAAAGGCCCAGGCGGCGTTTCGAGGCGGCGACGGCGAGGGTCGGTCGCCCTGAACGGCGTTGAAGGCCTGCTTGCGCTCGTCGACCATCGAGTCGAGCACGCGCTCGTCACTCGCACGGAGCTCCTCCTTCTCCATCGAGCCCAGCGCCTGCCGCAGCTGCGAAGCGAGCTCATCACCGAGCGAGAGCCCGTCGTCGTCGCCGCCGCCCGGGTCGGCCTCCGCCTGCGCGAGCGCGGCGCCGGCCCGAGGCGCCCAGGCCAGTCCGAGGCTGCGCTGCTGCGGAGCTAGCTGGAAGCAGAGCGAGGCCGGGAGGAGAGCGAGCAGCCGAAGAATCGGCGCGGCCATTTCGATGAGTGAGCAAACAAAGAATTTTCAGTGCCTAGCTCTTCGAAGCTTTTCTTTCTTTAGAATCCAGGAGATCAACTTAAAAATCTTCTTTCTGGCGGCACATGAGCGACACGCGCATCGACAACCCAACCCTCGCCGACCTGACCGAAGCGGCGATTCAAGCGGCTGCGCGAGGCGAGGAGGTGGCGCTGCTGGCATGGCTCGACAGCGGCGGGCGGGTCAACGCGACTTGCGGGGTAGGCGATGTGAGCGGCGTCACCGCACTGATGGGCGCCGCCGGCTACGGCCAAGAGCGGGTGGTCGAGCTGCTGCTGCAGCGCGGCGCGGAGATCAACAAGCAGGACAGCGACGGCTGGACCGCGCTGATGTACGCCGCTGACAACGGCCACGAGCGGGTGGTCGATCTTCTGTTGCAGCGCGGCGCGGAGATCAACAAGCAGAGCAGCAACGGCGACACCGCGCTGATGGGCGCCGCCGGCAACGGCCACGAGCGGGTGGTCGAGCTGCTGCTGCAGCGCGGCGCGGAGATCAACCAGCAGAACAGCGACGGCTGGACCGCGCTGATGCTTGCCGCCCAGAAGGGCCAAGAGGGGGTGGTTGAGCTGCTGCTGCAGCGCGGCGCGGAGATCGACAAGCAGGACGGCAACGGCGGCACTGCGCTGATGGGCGCCGCCCAGCATGGCCAAGAGCGAGTGGTCGAGCTGCTGCTGCAGCGCGGCGCGGAGATCAACAAGCAGAAAAGCGACGGCGGCACCGCGCTGATGGTCGCCGCCACCAACGGCCACGAGCGGGTGGTCGACCTGCTGCTGCAGCGCGGCGCAGAGATCAACCAGCAGGACAGCAGAGGCGGCACCGCGCTGATGGTCGCCGCCGGCAACGGCCGCGAGCGGGTGGTAGATCTGCTGCTGCAGCGCGGCGCAGAGATCGACTTGCAGAACAGCAGAGGCGTCACCGCGCTGATGCTCGCCGCCTTCCGAGGCCACGAGCGGGTGGTCGAGCTGCTGCTGCAGCGCGGCGCGGAGATCAACTTGCAGAGCGGCGAAGGCTGGACCGCGCTGATGTTCGCCGCCCACGGCCACCCCGCCGTCGTCCTCCGCCTGCTTCGCGCGGGCGCAGATACAGCGGTGCGCTCTGAGGGCGGCAAGTCCGCGCTGCAAATGGCCAAGGAGAAGGGCCACGCCGCCTGCGTCGGCGCCTTCCGGCAGCACATCGAGGAGGTGACTGCGGCCCAGCGCGAGGCGACGGCGGGCGGTGCGGGCGTCGCTTCCTCGGGCGAGGCGGCGGCGGGAGCGAGGGCCGCGGCCTCTTCCGGCTCACCGGGCAGCCTTTCCGAAGAGGCGGGGATAGCGGCTGCGCAAGGCGACGAGGCGGCGCTGCTGGCGTGGCTTGACAGCGGCGGGCGGGTCAACGCGACTTGCGGGGTAGGCGATGTGAGCGGCGTCACCGCGCTGATGCTTGCCGCCCAGAAGGGCCAAGAGCGGGTGGTCGAGCTGCTGCTGCAGCGCGGCGCGGAGATCAACAAGCAGAACAGCGACGGCTGGACCACGCTGATGCACGCCGCCAGCCAAGGCCACGAGCGGGTGGTCGAGTTGCTGCGGCGGCGCGGCGCGGAGATCAACAAGCAGAGCAGCAACGGCGACACCGCGCTGATGCACGCCGCCAGCCAAGGCCAAGAGCGGGTGGTCGATCTGCTGCTGCGGCGCGGCGCGGAGATCAACCAGAGCAACGGCGGCACCGCGCTGATGGGCGCCGCCCACTACGGCCACGAGCGGGTGGTCGAGCTGCTGCTTCGGCACGGCGCAGAGGTCGACTTGCAGGACAGCAATGGCGGCACCGCGCTGATGCACGCCGCCAGCCAAGGCCGCGAGCGGGTGATTGACCTGCTGATGCAACGCGGCGCGGAGGTCAACATGCAGAACAGTCGCGGCGGCACCGCGCTGATGCTCGCCGCCGCCCACGGCCACCCCGCCGTCGTCCTCCACCTGCTGCGGGCGGGCGTAGACGCGGCGTTGTGCACTGCGAGCGGCAGGACGGCGCTGCAGATGGCCAAGGAGAAGGGCCACGCCGGGTGCGTGCGCGCCCTTGAGGAGCATGCGGCGGCGGCGGAGGCGGCGGCGGAGGCGGCGGCGGAGGCGTCGGCGGAGGCGGCGGCGAGGGAGGCGGAGAGAGCGGCGGCGGAGGCTGAGGCGGCGCGGCATGCCGAGGCGCTGCTGGCGGAGGAGGAGGCGGAGAAGGAGGCGGAGCGCGCCAAGGAGAGCAAGAAGGGCAAGAAGAAGAAGAAGAAGGGGAAGGGCGGCGGAGGCGGCGCTGGGCCGTCGCGGGAGCCCGAGGATGAGGCAGCGCTGGCGGCGGCGGAGGAGGCGGAGTTGGCGGCGGCGCTCGAGGAGAGCGCGAGGCTGGAGGAGAAGAGGCGGGCGGCGGTGGAGCAGCCACCAGAGCCGGAGGCGCCGCCGGGGGAGGAGGAGCCGCCGACCGACTTCATCTGCCCGATCACGACCGAGGTCATGAGCGACCCGGTGATGGCGGCGGATGGGCATGCTTACGAGCGGACGGCGATCGAGCGCTGGCTCGCGACCAAGTCAACGAGCCCAATGACGGGCGCGGAGCTCGAGAACACTAGCCTCTTCCCGCACCACATGCTGCGCAGGCAGATCCGAGAGTGGCGAGAGGACGGTAGGTCGTGATTAGGTTTGTGTACCTCTTTTGGTACACCTGTGTCGAACCTGTGTGCTGTGCGAGAGAGTTTTGTTGCATTCTTTTTCGCTTCGTCTAAAATTCTTTTTCTCGTGGCCCGGGCGCGGGTCGCTGGTGGTGATGGGGGAGGGCATCGCTGGGGAGGTGGAGGGGTGGCGGGAGCAGGTGAGGGCTGGGCAGCATCTGCTGCTCACCGAGGACCCCTGGTGGCGCTGCTGCGCGGCGCTGGCTGGGGGGGCGGGAAGTCCCGTCAGGGACGCCAGCGGGGGGCGCGGCGGGAGCGGAAGCGGTGGGAGTTGGATGAGGGGGATGATGGTTGTTTCGGCGAGCACTACGGTGCTTGCGGATTCGATCATCCGCCTTCGGACGACTTCCTCTATGGCGAGGACGACGGCTTCTAAGGAAGCCGTCGTCTGCGCCTTGTTGGTGCCAGCGCGCGCCAGTCCCGTGCCCAGTGTCGTGCGACCGCGTTGTAAAATTCTTTTTCATGCGCAGGGTTGTAAAATTCTTTTTCTCGCGATGTCTGATCCGCCGCGCCGCCGCTCGCGCCGCCTCGCCACCGGGGCCACCGCCTCCTCCGCCGCCGCTCCCTCGCCAGACACGCCGCCGCCCGCCCGCCTCCTCGACCTCCCCACGGACCTCCTCGAGCGCGCCCTCTCTCGCTGCGACAGCCCCGTCGACATCGCTCGCGTCGCGGCCGTCTCGCTGCTCTTCCACGCCTCGCTCGCGGCGGAGGCCATCCGCTTGTGGGCGCAAGAGCGCGGCTTCGAGCTGCCGGCGCAGCCAGAGGGTGAGGGCTGCCCCGTGCGGTGGCTGTGCTTCGCTGCGCTGCTGCGCGAGTCCAACCCGCCGGCGAGGGCGGCGGCAGGCGTTCGGCACAGCCTCTTCATCGACGGCGAGGGGCGGCTCTCGTCGTGCGGCTGTGCGCCGAATCACCGCCCAGGCGTCCTTGGCCACGGCGAGGGCGTGACGCAGCTCAACACGCCGACCCGCCTCCCTTCCCCGCTGGGAGGCGAGCGCGCCGTGAGCGTCTCGGCTGGAGCATTCCACAACCTCGCCCTTACCGGCAGCGGCGCCATTTGGAGCTGGGGCCAGGGAGGCTTGAGCGCGCTGGGCCACGGCGACGACGATGACGACGACGATGAGCAGGACAAATGCGAGCCGAAGAAGGTCGAGGCTTTTGCTAGCCAGCGCGTCGTCGCTGTGTCGGCTGGAGCCGTCCACAGCCTCGCCATCACCGCCGACGGCGCCGTCTGGAGCTGGGGCTATGGAGGCGAAGGCTGGCTGGGCCACGGTAACAAGCAGCACCAGCTGCTGCCGAAGAAGATCGAGACCTTTGCAGGGCAGCGCGTTCTCGCTCTGTCGGCAGGGGACAACCACAGCCTCGCCCTCACCGCCGACGGCGCCGTCTGGAGCTGGGGCAATGGAGGCTATGGCAAGCTCGGCCACGGCGACCAGCAGTCCCAGCTGCTGCCGAAGAAGATCGAGGCCTTGGCTGGGCGGCGCGTCGTCGCCGTGTCCGCTGGAGATAGGCACAGCCTCGCCCTCACCGCCGACGGCGCCGTCTGGAGCTGGGGCGATGGAGGCTGGGGCCAGTTGGGCCACGGCGACCAGGATCGCCAGCTGCTGCCCAAGAAGGTCGAGACCTTCAGCGCGGGTCAGCGTGTCGTCGCTGTGTCAGCCGAATGCTCGCACTCCCTCGCCCTCACCGCCGACGGCGCCGTCTGGAGCTGGGGCAATGGAGGGAACGGCCGGCTGGGCCACGGCGACCAGCACATCCAGCCGCTGCCCAAGAAGGTCGAGGCCTTGGCGGGCCAGCGCGTCGTCGCTGTGTCGGCGGGAGGCTTCCACAGCCTCGCTATCACCGCCCACGGTGCCTTCTGGAGCTGGGGCTATGGAGTCTCTGGCCAGCTGGGCCACGGCGACGAGCACCAGCAGCTGCTGCCCAAGAAGATCGAGGCGTGGGCGCCAGGTCGGTGACACGGCTGTCACCTGTTGTAGTCTGCGCCGCCACACAGGGATTTTTAAGGAGAGGAGTGTGGTGCTAGCCGTCGCCCACGGAGTCTGCCTTTTCCTATCTCTCTTCGCAGTCCCTCGCCGATATTCTCGCTGCAACCTTCATGCCACCTTGCGGTCGTCCCACTCTTGTCGTTCTCTCCCTTGTCATTTCCTCCTCTGTCGCGTCGTTCCCTTCTGCCTCATATGCCATGTCCGCCTTGCGTTTGTTTTCATAAGGTAGGTAGGTAGGTTTCATAACATCGAAGGCTAAGCTCAAAAAGAAACTTGGAGCACTTGGAGTGCAGTCGGCAACCGCACATCCAGGGCCGGGGAGCTGAGAAGCGCACCCAGCGGGCCGGATGATTGGCATCGGGTTGCGGGCAAGAGAGCCCTAGCCCAGGGGGTGCGCGTTCGCAGGGAAAGGGCCGTAAAGTAAACACGGGTCTCCGAGGGTTAGTCCGCGCTCCAGGTTTCCCCTAGCAGCGGAGCGCCCCCTCTACTCGGAGCTAATAAACACCAGACACGCACACGACGTACATCCTCACTCGACGTCACCCCTCGAGGCTTCCCGGTCTGGCCTCCCCCCCCTCGGTCTGGAGGGGCCCTCTTATCCCCTCAGTCCTCCCCCCACTCGCTTTCCGCTGGTTGGGCAACGGATGCGGGGCCCGACCCCCCCTCTGTAATCTCGCTGCCTTACACTCACTGACCCATGAAACAGATGGTGGTTGCCGTGGTCTTCCTCCTCGACGCCGCGCTGGCATTTGGCAGCACCGCAGGCACTGAAGCCTTGCTGCTAGGCACTGAAGCCGCAGCGCCCGATTACATCGCCACCAAGGCCTCCTACTGCTCGTCGCTGCAGCAGCAGCTGGACGAGCACATGGCTTCGGGTGACGCCACGTTGCCGCAAAAGATGATTTTCGATTTCCTCGCCATAAACGCCACGCAGTTCCAGGGCAAGCTGCTGCCGTGGTTCGACCTCAACCTGCAGTGCCTCAACGTGCTCTACCCTCTCACCATCGCTACGGTTATCCAGGGCAAAAATATGACCGAGTCTCAGCGCAGCACCGTGGCAGGCATCATCAGGGATGGCTTCGCCGTTCACATGTCGCTTGGGCGTACGAACTGGGCGCGCCACATGGGCGTGCCCGAGTCGAACCTGAACGCCATCGCGTGGGCTAACGACGAGCTTCTCCACAAGACGATGGCCGGCCCGTTCGTGCCCGCCACCGAGCTGTTCTGCGAGAAGCTCCAAGCCGAGTACGACGCGCTGCTGGACCTCGGCGATTCGATGAACGTGTTCCACAAGCAAAACAGGTTCGGCAAGAGGAACAGGTTCCTCGCGCCGGATGGGTGGATGTACAAGACCTGCCGCACGGGCGCAGGTTTGCGCTGCGCCTGCACTGCACATCTTCTGCCCTCATACGTTGCAGAGGCACATGCACGCATGCACGCACATGCACATGCACATGGGCACGTACACGTACATTTGTCATGCAGACACCCTCGACCTGCTCGACCTCCTCATCGCAATGCTGAGTAATCTCGACTGGGAGCAGCACCGGCAGGACTACCTCAGCGCTCTGAACCGCGACCCCGCCTACGCCGCGGCGTTGGTGAAGCACACGATCCTGCACTGGCAGTCGCTGTTTGCGGCCGGCTTGAACCCCTTCAACATCGACAAGCTCTTCGAGGAGTCCTTCGAGGCGCGGCCGTGTTGCAGCCGTGTTGCAGCCGTTAATATTAACGCGTTCATACAGCCGTCCATCAGTTGGACGAGTTGCGACTAGTAACTAAACACTGGTCGTAGTGTGCAGTGGAGGGGGGCTTGCCGCAATGAGTACAGTTGTTCATATGCAGGCTCTCGTGCCGGCGAGCGCCATCTGGCTGGAGAAGTACGCGTGACGCGTCGAGCTCGGTCGGTCCTCTCGGAGATGTAATACAGACACCTCCAAGCTCGCCAACCGGTTCGCCGCGAGCAATTCTTGTCATGTGCATGACTGTGTGGAGGCACTACAGGTACAGCTGTACGGCGCGGTATACGCGCGGCAGAGCGTGAAAGCTCTCCGCGAGGTTGTACGGCAGTAGGGTGACCGCGTAGCTACGGACATTGGTTGGGTGTGCATGCACATGCACATGCACATGTGCATGTCGTAGGGGTAGAGGGTTGCCCGCCTTGCCCAAAACTTCGTTTAGAGACCTGCGGCGGCCGGCTCGCAGACGAGTGCTGACAGACTGCTGAAGCCTGAGCTTAGGTCTTAGCCCCCGGGGTTATAAATATAAAATTGAATTTAACAACAGAACACCCTCGCACGACACTGGACGCGGGACTGGCGCGCGCTGGCACGGACACGGGCACACCACTGGAGCCGCGCGCAAGTAAGTGCGCGGGTGTTCATATCTGCAGCCTTGGGCTCGCTCGAGGGCGCCTTCGCCCTCCTAGCAGCAGCGAGTCGCCCACGCCCACGGCATCTTGAACAGGGTGAGGGTGCCGCGGCCGCGGACAAACCTGCGGGCGAGAATCTCGCTTTAGGACCGTGATATACATCAAAGTGCTACGTTGGCCGGAAGAATGTCTCCTTCTCGCGTCGGGACGCGGGGGACCACATGTTGAGGACCTCTGCCTGAGGACCTCGCTCGCGGCAATCACACCACTTTCGTGACTCGCTTCCTCTACCTACCATGGGACCATGGCAGACACTCCCAAAGGTGGTGTGGGCTTTTTGCGTTTGTTTGGAAGTGATATCCTCAAATTCTTTTATTTCACGGTTCGAAGTCCTTGCCGCCAATGCTGCTACTTCTGCTGTCGGCAACGGCGACCGTCCAGCGGCCGATCCAGCGTCCCAAGGTATCGCACGTGCTGCTGCGCGCCTCTGTCAACGGCGAAGAGCCGCTTCGTTGTGCGCCTTGCGACGTCCGCATCCTCGGCGCGACAGCAAGTCCGATCATACAGCGCACAGCGCAAGTTGCCGCAGGCCAGATCATTGCTCGATATAAGGAGGAGCGTTGCGCGTTTATGCAGAGCGTGGCCGGCCTCGCCAAGCGACCTGCGTCGGCTGCTTCGGGATCTGCACGCGACGCTGCCGTCGAGCTCCTCCTTGCGCTTACACTGAACCTGCCCTGTTGGGTCTTGCTGGGTGTTGTGTTGTCCTCGTGGGATGTGAAAATGCTCTGATTTCGTAGCATGGTGGAGAAGAGATCAGAGAAAACAAAAGTAAATCCCTGCGCGACAGCGCTCCGTCAATCACAATCTCCCACGCCGTCATTGCACCACTACTCGACAGATGACACCGGGCGTGCCCACGGCAGCGCCGTGCATGCTAGATACTAGACACCCGGCCGGGGCTCCGACCGCCGCTCGCGCCCGCCAGCGCTGCGCGCGACGGCGCCAAACTCCTCCGACGAGGTGGCCGAGCCGAGGGCCTGCCCCTACTTGCGCGAGTTGACGACGAGGCAGAGGGGGAGGCAGATGAGGAGGACGACGAAGCCGCAGACCTGGAGGGCGTACGACCACGAGCGGCCGCACTCCAAGTCGGCGTCGTCCAGCGCCTCGCAGGCGTTCGACTCCCACAGCGCAAACGGCACGACAGCGAGCACCGCCGCCGCGGCGACGAGGGCGGCGGTGAGGCAGGGCTTGGGACGCCTGGAGCAGGAGCCGTGGCAGGCGAGCACAAAGGCGATGAAGACGAGCAGAACCGTCAAGATCGACGCCGCCTCCGCGCCCGCGATCCAGGGCTTGAGCGTGGCCGAGTTGCCGACCGCGCCGCCGGAGCACTTGTCGTCACCGCCGCAGGTGTCGCCTTCGGCGCAGTCGTCGTCGTCGTCGCAGGAGCGCGCCTCCCAGGCGATGCTGCGGGCGTAGCCGCAGAGAATGTTGTCAAAGCCTTTTGAAATGAACTCGGGGTCCTGGATGCTTGGCGACGAGACGTACTCGCAGTGGTAGGAGACCACATCCGAGCAAGACCATTTGTCGCCGCCAAGAAAGGAAATGGCCACGTTGGCCAAATTGCAGGCGTCCTCGTTCAGATATCCGCCGACGCCCCAGATGCCATAGCCGACCGACCCACCATAATCGCTCCCGCGCACTTCATAGGTTCGCGTCCCGGCAGAGAATGCCGGCACAGCACACGCAACCACGACAAACATGCCACTGATGGCGAGAAGGACGGCGGCGACGCACATGCGGCGCTTGTTGATTGACTCGCTGCGCGACTGCACCTCCATCGTTGACGGAGCGGTGAAAGCGGAGCGGCGGTGTCCTGTCAATCGCTCCTTGGGCTAAAGTTTCTTTTTTCTTGGTTGAACAAAACTCTTCGCTTCACAAGGACCACGCCGCAACCGTCGCCTGCGCGCGACACGTTCCCGTCAGCAGGACTGTCCTGGTCGAGAGTGTGTGCCGCCGAGGCGGGACCACTCGGGGACAGTGCCGACGGGACGCGGCTCGAAGGGTGTGGCTCCGCAGCGCGGCTGGCACTCGTCGCAGAGGCCTCACCTTCGAAAAGTCGGGCATGGCTCTACCCGCAACTCTCTCGCTAACACGCGCGCACCGCCGAGCCTGCGGCGGGCGCGCTGCGGCCGCACGTCTAACTTCGTCATAGTGCCACGACGTGCGGCCTAGATTTAGCCCACGCGCCTCTGCTCGCAAACACTCACCCATTTGATTGTCACTGTCCGTGAGTGCGAGATTAGGGCTAGCCGCAGGCAGCTACCCCATGAGGAGGGCGTCCATAGACACCTCACTAGACCCCACATACGGTCTCGTCCGTGCCTCGCCGGCCGGGGAGATTGCTAGAGGTGGAGCATGCTGCTCTAGCCTCACATGTCACTTCCTGTCGTCTGTTGTTTGTTGTGCCCTTGTTTGTTTCTCTTGGCACCTTGGAGTGCTGGGGGGGGCGACAGGGAGGATGTGGCCTTGAGTTATGTGTACGCCAACTCAGGGTGTGTGGCAGCCAGCTGGCTGTGTGTCTTGTGAGCTTGTTTGTGTCTGTGTGTCGCTCGTGCGTGTCGTCATCATCTGTCTTGCGTCCACCCATACCGCGTTGGTGTCCAGTCCGAGCCTGGCTGTTCTTCACCTTTCTACCTACCTACTAACAAAAGTCGAACATACCCTTGCGCCTATGTGCCGTATGTGTTGTCGCCGAGCTCCATACTGCGATTATCAGAAGACCCGAGCACCTATCTGCCCTATATCATTAGTGCCGGCGCGGTAAAATTCTTGCCCACTCCGGATACCCATCACTGAGCCGACAATGCTACGGGTAGCCCCAGGGTGGCGCCCACCCCCATGCCCTCGGGCACTTGCCTGCGCCCTCGCGCACTAGCCCACGCCCTGCCCCGCAAGATCTCACTCCATCCCGGCCTGCGGCATTCCTCGGCACCCCCTTGCACGGAATCTGAGCGTGAGGGAATCTGAGTGTGAGGGAATCTGAGCGTGAGGGAACCTGGGCAGTGCCGCGTAGTGCGGCGTGCGCGGGCGTGCGCGGGCGTGCGCGGGGCGTGCGCGGGCGTGCGCGGGCGTGCGCGGGCGTGCGCGCGCGTGCGCGGCGTGCGCGGGCGTGCGCGCGCGCGCGCGCGTGCGCGGCGTGCGCGGGCAGGGCGCAGGCAAGTGCCTGAGGGTATGGGGGTGGGCGCCACCCTGGGGCTACCCATAGCATCGTCGGCTCAGTGATGGGTATCCTCCCTTTGCTGCCACTCATAAAATCACAAAATCACAACACAAAAAAAATCTCTCTCTCAAAATCACTGTGAGAGTCGTGATTTCTTGTTGGTTAATAACAATCTCTCTCTCTCTAAAATCGTTGGGTCGCTTCAGTTCACGACCCTCCGTGAGAGTATTAGTGTACGAACTATCAGTTCACGACTCTCGTGTACGAACTAATGGGCCGACCCTTGTCTTCCGATTTTATGAGAAGAGAACAAAGGGAGTGATTCTTGCCAGGCTGTTCCCTCGCCTTGGCTGTGGTACAGTCCGCCCGCGTGGTTTTCTTCAAGTGTGAGTGTGAGTGTGACACACACACACACACACACACACACGCTTATGCGGCCCGATGGGGAGGAACGGGGCGAGCCCCCTCCAACCCACCCGCGCTAGGTCCTGGGTGACGTAGGGGAAACCCGGCGAGCCTCGGGAACTAGCCGGGGCAGTCGGAGAAGGGGCAAATTCGTGCACTGACGGTCGGCCGCCAGAAAACACGCCTGCGTGGATCGCGTCACACCAATCCTCGCTACCCAACGCGGCCAAAGGATATCCACCTCGAGAACCCGCGAACACGTTTTATTCAAATTTCTCCCGGCTTCACCGACGTCTGCCTTCGCCGACCTGCCGCCTGGACGCTGCTTCAGTGCAACAATGCGCACCCTCGTCGGCACGGCCGCGCTCACGACTGCTGCCGTGGGTCGCTCCACGATCCCGTCCGCCGGCGCGCTCAAGCCGTGGGGCGCGAGCGAGCGCGACGAGTGGCGGACCTCTCGCAAGGTCGTCCGCTCCTACCGCGAGGAGGTGCTGACCAAGCTCGAGCCGCTGGCGGAGTGGTGGGAGGTCGAGAAGTACGGCGCGCTCTCGCAGGACCCGGAGCGCTTCCCGCTCTACTCGGTCCGCAGTCGCCGCTGGGAGGCGAGCCGTCCGAGCGTGCTCATCACGGGAGGAGTGCACGGCTACGAGACGTCGGGCGTGCAAGGCGCACTGCTCTTCCTCCAGAGCGCGGCCGCCGCGTACAGCGAGAGCTTCAACCTGCTCGTCGTCCCGTGCGTGGGCTTGGGGCCGCTGGGACATGCTGTCCAGGACTGGTGTTAAATTGACACGCCCGAGACTTGTCCACAGGTGCGTCAGTCCGCGGGCCGCCGGGACATGTGCACGACACGTCCGTGACACGTCCCTCGTCCACAGGTGCGTGAGGCCGCTGGAAGATGTTCAGGACACACGTCCATGACATGTCCGAGAGATGTCCCCAGGTGCGTGAGCCCGTGGGGCTACGAGACGATCCAGCGCTGGAACGCGCAGGCGGGCGCGATCCAGAGCCGTCGCGCTGTAGCCACTCACCTCTCCTCTGTACTCACTGCAGTCGGCCAGCGCATTAGTTCGGACACTCACAGTTCGCGCGCGGTGGAATGGCGGGGAATAGCGCGCAAGGGTGGAGCCGCACGCGAGGGGCGGCGCGGCCTGGCGCAGGGCGCAGTTCACGCGTCCCGTTTGCCGCGTGCGCCACCGCAGGCGGTCGACCCGAACCGCAGCTTCAACCCGCGGGGCGAGGTTGTGGCCGGCCGGTCCTTCAACCCCGAGGCGCGCCGGATGCTGCACGGGGGACGCCGGCTCTCTCTTATTGCTCATGACTAACTCCTGACACATTGGTGCCTCGAGGCGGCCAATCGAGGAGGTCTGCCACGGAGTCCGTGGCAACGGAGTCGGCTGACGCCGCGGCGGCCCCTTCCCTCAGGCGGCCTCGCGCCTACAAAAGAAAGACTAACGCGGGCCGCTTTCTTGTTTAGGCGCCCCCTTCCCTCAGGCGGCCACGGAGGAGTCTGCGGCCCTTCTCTCGCACCTCGAGGCGCTCGGAGGAAGGGACGGCCGATTCCTGTGCGCCACGTCGCCCTGCCGAGAGTTGGGCGTGTCGCTACTCCGAGAGATGGTTGGTGCTGGCTGTCGCTCTCAGGCGCCGCACAACCCGCCGACCAGCGTCTGTTGTTCGGTGGCATAGAGTGTGTGACATGTCTCGTCGCCACCACTCGTCCCAGGTGCCACATCGACTTGCACGAGACGACGGACACCGATGAGTCCGAGTTCCGGCCGGCTAAGGCGGCGGCTCCTTGTCTCTCTCTCCCGGCCCTCTCCCGGCCGTCTCTCGGCCATCTCTCGGCGATCTCCCGGCCATCTCTCGGCTGCATCTCGGCTATATCCAGGCATCAGTGAATCTGAATCTGAATCTGAATCTCGGCGCTCGCTCCCTCGCACAGGCGGCGCGCGACGGCGTCGCATTTGAGCCCGGCACCCCCCCCCCCCCTCCACCACCACCACCACCCCTCCCCCCACCCCCTGGCCGGCCTCTGAGTCGCCCTCTCGCCTCCCCACCCGACCCTCCCCCGCCCCTTCCGACAGGTACCATTCCAGACGGGTTCTACCTCGTCGCCGACGTGACCAGCCCGCACCTCCCCACGCAGGCCCGGGCCCTTCCCCTTTACCCTTCCCCTGGACCCTTCCCTGGCCCTTTCGCGAAGGTGACCAACCCGCGGCTCGACTGGCACGCCGCTATCATCGACGCCGTGCGGCGGCGGGCGCACGCTCGCGCTGAGGTGCGAGCAGCGCCTCGTCACACCTCGAGCCGTGAACAGGTGGTCACGCACCAGACGTACTAGTACGACGAGGCATGAGCAGCGCCTCGTCACACCTCGAGCCATGAACAGGTGAGGCGGGTGACGCACATCGCGCCCGCCGACCCGGACGGCACAATCATCGGCGAGCCGGTGCTCCAGGAGGGCGTGATTGGCATCCCTTCACCACGCAGCCTCGGCCTCTGCGCCGGCGCGACCCGCCCGCCGTACTCACGTCCGCGACACGTCCGCGACACGCCCACGACGCGTCCACGACACACACACGACACTCCCACGACACACCCACGACGCGTCCAGACGTGCCCGTGCGAAACGCGTCGCGCAGGGGTGACCGACGCGCCGTACGCGACGACGACGGAGGTGTGCTGCCACCGATCTGCCGGAGGCGGACCCGGTGACACGTCCGGCCACACGTCCACGACATGTCGGCGACACGCCCCGCAGGTGTACCCCGACTCTCCGAAGGCGGACGCCGACATCTGCAACCGCGCGCAGGTCGCCGCCATCACCTCCGCCCTCGACTTCCTCCTGGCGGAGCGGCGCGCCGGCGGCGGCGCGGGAGGGGCGGCGGCGAAGGCTGAGCTTTAGGCGCAGGGTGGGCGGTAAGTCGCTCTCTCCGTACATGTCTAGTGGCAGCCAGCACGCAGCAGCTTTATTATTTCAGTTTTGGAGATTTATTTGGGCGAGCGCGCGGGCGTATTTGCAGGCCGCGCAAAAACACATTCACATACGGGCTAGGACGGACTTGTTCTCTGCCTTCGATCCAGAGGATCGGCTCTCGACCTCCCTTGTAAAAAAGTAAAGACTAAAGTAGAATTAGACAAGCACAAAACTGCCACTGGGTTGGGGCGGCGCCTACCTCATTGCTCATATCGCACTACACGTTTGCAACCTCTAGCAAGACGCGCACGGCCGCCTCCACTCCCCCCGCCCGCTCCAGCCCAGCCGCAACGGCCTTGGCCTTTGAGGCGTACTCGTCGCCACCCAGCACCTCCTCCACCGCCCGCCTGACGGCGGCTTGGTAGCTCGACACGACCGCAGCCTCCTCTTCGGCCTCTGCGCCGTCCGCCAGTGCCGCCGGCCGGTCCACAGCGACGCCCCATCCTTGCGCCACCACCTTGGCCGCGTTGGTCACCTGATCGCCAAAGCCAGGGCAGACCACCACTGGCGTGCCGACAGCCGCGCTCTCCATGAGCGAGTTTTGCCCGCCGTTCGTGACAAAGAGCACCGGGCGAGCCTTGCGCAGCAAGTCAACCTAGGCATCGCTTGCGGTGTAAAAGCGTCTCTTCACGCCTCTAGCAACACACGGTCTTGTCGAGGTCCACCTGCGGCCACGAGCTGGCGCTGAGCGAGTTGCTGGGTACGTCGATGCCCTCAAAGGCAGCCGGCTGTGGGCCTGCGCGCCGTGGAGAGTGGACACATGGCATACAGAATGGACAAAACACAGGAAGGGTGGCAAGTGCGTGGCCTTGCGACACGACGATGAGGGGCGAGGCGGCGCCATTATGAGGGCTGTCGGGACCCAGCGCCTCGAATACGGCGCGATAGACCGCCTAATGTAGCAATCCCGTCACGCTCGTTGCTCTACGTCACGAAACGGCGCCTCTCTTGCCGCGCTGCAGCTCGCCTGGCAGAGCTGCCGTCCGGTGATGGCGCTGCCGCTCGTTGCGGTCCATCCGTGGCTCTCATCGTCCGAGGTGACGACAGTGCCCAGGGACACGTAGACGATCATGCGCGCGGCGGTCGTAGCCTAAAAGCAGCAGCGTCAACTGCGTCACTGTTTGACTTTGCACAAGGCTTGCCCCTGATTCTGCCGCCTCCGCCACGCGCGCCATCAGAGCCTCCGTGTCGGGTGGGGAGGAGTCGGCCTCCGAGCCGCCTGCGTGAAGCATCCCGCCGGCCCGCTTTGCACCGGCAACGTCCAGCAGGGGGCCCACGTACACAAACTTCTTTCCAACCTTGCTGTAGTACTCCTCGTCGCGTTTGCTCACCGGGTCGGCCAGCTCGGGCGTTGTCGTGACGAGATTCGTCGCCGCATAGTAGTCGCAGATGAGCGGCAGGCCAGTCTCGGTGTTCAGCGTGAGCTCTGGCATCCCCATCTCCGCCTTGAGCGCCTCCACTGCCTTGAGGTTGGGCTCACTCCCCTTAATAGCAGCGATCAGCGCATCCGAGGATGGCGCTCCTGGCGTCGAGGCAATGGCGGCGTCGAAGAATCCCGGCCCGGCGGCCGTCAGGAGAGAGACGTCGGGGATGGCAAGCTTGACGCTGGCAAAGTGAGCGACCTACCGGGCCGGACCCAACTTTCCGCGTGCAGCCGCCTCTTATTGAGCTCGGGCTTGCGCTAGCCTGCGACAGCACTGGGCAGTAGACGACGAGGTCTGGACCGCGAGATTGCAGCCAGCGGACGTACGCCGGCAGGAGCCGCTGCGCGGCGATGCTTCCAAAGTTGAGCGCCCAGGGAGCCGAGGCGCCGTACTCGGTGAGCGTCGCCTTGACCATTGCGGTGTAGTCGTCGATGCCGAGCTCCTAGCAGCACACGGAGGCACTTTGAAGACAGATAGCGGCACTGAGCCACCACTGGGTGCTGCACTCTCCTTGAAGGCCAGGTCGCGGTCGACAAATGTCGCTCCCGTGTCCTCTATCGCCTCCTGGAACTGCGGCGAATGCAAGTAGTCTACGTCCCAGCCGCGCTCGACGAGCGCGCGGGCGAGTGGGAGGGACGGGTTGGTGTGGCCGCTCGCGGCGGGAAACACGAAGGCGGCCTTTGGCATCGCACGCAGTGGACGGCGAGAGGGCGGCGACAACACTCGTCCGTCCCCCAGTGAACTCACTCGAGGGTCACGTCGGCCCGCGATGATGCGGCTGGCGCACCGGTTTCGAGCGCCGGTCGCGCCCGTCGCGCATTTGCCCTCGGCCTTCGCCCGCTCCAGCTCACGGCGCCTGACCTCGGCGGTGCTCCCGCGCTGGCTCTCTCTCGCCGCGATTGCTAACGCCAGAGACAGGAGCGTCAAATGATCGACCTCAATGCCGCCTTCAACAGCCAGAGCTTCTCATTCACGGTTCTGCACGGCAAGTGAGTAGGCAAAGCACCACCTCCGCCGTCTCGGACGCCATCTCCTCCTCCGGCGGCTTCCTGTTGCAGGCGTGCCGTCGGGCCCGTGGTGGACGGACGCATGGCTCCCTGACCCAACCTTGATTATCTCGACCTAGGCAAACATGCTGTCTGACATGATCACGACTTTTACCATCGATGAGCTACCCGCCGAGGGCGTCGACAAGCTCGCACAGGCTTCACCATTATGCCGGAGCATATTTGAAGGATTGTAAAGTGATTGCAACGGACCATCTCTCATATGCTCGAGAGCAGGCGCTCGGAGCGATCAATGGGCTGCGTGTGGACTCTGCTAGCGCAACAGCCATGGAGGAATGCGTCCGGCTGCTGGCAGAGGGGGCGCCGGCTCCACGCGGCGGCTTGCGTGCGCGCGAGCTTAGATGCAGAGCACTCACTGCAAATGGAGATGCGACGGTCCTTTAGGGACACCGAGTAGCGAGTCCACAGCATCGCTCCTCGTTAGGCGCGAATCTCCAGGTGACATGGAAGGGAGCGACGGGCGAGCTCAAGCACACTGTCATTCGGGACGGCTGAGCAAAACGCACCGAAGCTGAGAACGTGTTGGACAAATTGGGAGAAAATCGGGAGGCGTGCAAAACAACACACGCTTTCGAGAGCAGACACCGACACACATACTTAGGGGGCGGTGGGGGCGGGGGTGGGTAAAAAGCTCCCCTGCCCATTGGGGCTGCAGCTTCTCACTCCTGCGGCAACTTCCAGTCGATGCCGACGACCGCCGTCCCGCCCTCCGCCCAGTATCGGCCGTTCCAGTCGTACCGGCAGATGACAACGTATCCCAGCTGCTTGAGCCGTTGGACCACCGCCTCTTTCACCTCCGTGCGCACGCGTGTGTTCTTGGGTGGCGTCTTGACGAGCCACCAAAAGTCACCATCGGGGTGGTTAGACGCCAACAGCGTGCCGTCGTTGATGCATGTGCCTCCCTCCATGCTCGTCTCCTTGATCTTCTCCATGATCTCGGACATGACGCGCCCAACCAAGACCTTGCGCTGGGCGTTGGCCAGTGTCTCCATCGTCTTGGCATCCACCGCCGGCACCTCAGAGAGGAACTTTGCGATCTGCTCATGCACGTCGGTGATGCCGCCGACGATGCTTGTGTCGAGGCCTTGTGCAACGAGCTGCACCTCGAACTGGCGGACGTGGGCCTGGAGGGCATCGGCCGAGGAGAGCTGCTCGAGTGTCAGCCGTCCAATGTGCTCGCGCCAGGCCCGTTCCATGATACGCTTGACTCGAGAACGCTTGATTGACACGGCGGAGAGTGTCTCGCAGATGCTATCTCTTCGGCGGGCGCCCACGCGCCCCCCCTCCTTCTCAGCGACAAGAGAAAAAGTGATCTGTGCAATCCACTCCGTTCGCTCCCTCCCGCTTGCCCCCGTCCCGCCCTCCGCCCTCGCCCTCCGCCCCTGCCCTGGCTGGCCTGGGCGACATCCCCACACCATCCATCAATCACGCGCCAAGTGGGAGGGAAGTGGAGAGTTGTGAAGTGGATGGGGCCCTGAGCCGACCTAGCCGCCAAACGGAATGGGGCGCCCAACACGTGCCGGATTACTGTGCCTTCCCCGGGCACGGCCTTTCGGCTCGTGAAGGGTCGGTGCGTGTCGTGACCCCCCCCTGGAACACCCGTACCCCCGCACCATCTCCCGTCGCCGCTCGGTTCTTCAACCTTGCCGCCACCGGGAGCGGCCAGGACTCATATAGACTCGGTCGAAAGACCCTAGATTGGCATCCATGCCTCTCTGGACAGGGTGGCCCGCCACAAAGCCCCCAGGAATTGCGACTCACAGCTTTCCTCCCGCTGTGATTCTGTTGAGCTCTGTGTCTTGATTTGCCAACAATAGACCTTCAACTCATCAGCAGGAAGCCCGGTCACAGAGAACAGACAGATAGAGGAAGCTCACCCGTTGAGGAAGTGAGAACTGCTCGACCCACCCCTGATCCTGCTGAACAAGCTCTTCTTGTAGCTCGATCGGTCACACCGCCATCTGCGCGTTTACCTCGAGAGTCCATGCCAGTAAAATTGGATCTCGAGACCTCGAGAGAAGGCGCCCGCAGTGCCCAAGTCAAGAGTTTTAGGTTTGTTGTTGGAAAATCAAGACACAGAGCTCACACAGGATCACAGTGGGGTAAAATTCATGCGGTTTTTCTTTTTTCGGCCGCTCGCCTGGGCTCCGCCGACGAGCTTCATACTCCTCGACACTCATAAACGGTTTATTTTTTCCTTGGCCCGCGCCTAACATTCGCGGCCCTCTCGCATGATCATCAACCCGAACCACCAGCATCTGAATGAGTCGACTGAGGACCTCGACGGCACGGAGCTAGCCACCGCCGCCGCGGCTGCGCTGAGCGGGCAGCGCACATCGGTCGACTCGCCTCCCGCCGCTGACGGCCCAGATCCGCCTCGCAACCCGCGGCCGCCTACCGACATGCGGTGCCCGCTGCCACCCTTCCCTCCTTCTCTTTCTGTTTGCATGTCCGACCCCCGTGCGCGTGCGCGTGTAGGGCCCAGTCCTTCAACGACGACCTGCTGCCCGAGCGGAGGAGAGAGATGACCGGCGCGCCTGCGGACGCGAGGACACGGCCGCGCCGCCGACCGACGCCGGCGAGCCTGGGCAACGTGTACGAGAAGCGGTACCACGAGACGGTCATCTCGGTGGCGATCTCGGCGGACGACAGCTTTTTCGCCGCGGGAGGAGCCGGCCGCAAGGCGATGGTCTGGCGCGTCGAGGACGGCGAGCTGTTCGCCTCGTTCGAGACGCGCGACACGATCACCTCGATCGCCTTTGTGGGCGACGCGCTGCTGGCGGGCACCTTTGACAAGCGGCTGCATGGCTTCTCGCTGCGCATCAGCGCCGCGAGCGAGCAGGGCGGCGCCGGCGAGCGGTCTCTCTTCAACCAAGAGCTGTTCAGCGAGTCCTTCCCAGGCCAGGTCACCGCCATCTCCTGCGCCACCGACTCCGCCGACAGAGGCAGCGAGAGCGCGCTCATTGCCGTCGGAGGCACCGACCGCAACGTGATCCTGTACACCACCCGCGCCGCCGCCACGCCGAAAGAGCCCCCCGAGTACGCCGCCGCCAGCGGCGGCGGCGGCGGCGGCGGCAGTGGCAGCGGCGGCAGCGGCAGCGGCGGCGGCGGAGGAGGCGGCGGCTTCGGCGCGCGTGGTCGCGCGCCGCCGCTCCCTTTCCCGCTCGATCTGCCGGCGCGGGGGCAAGGGCGTCTTCCTGGCGGGCTCGAGGTGTGAAGAGACGCTGTTCACACCGCCTAGGCGCGGGGGCAGGGGCGTCTTCCTGGCGGGCTCGAGGTCGCGGCGCGTATCAAGGCGAGATTACCCGAGATTGACCGAGGTTGCCCGAGGTTGCCCGAGATTGACCGAGATCGACCGAGGTTGCCCGAGATTGCCCGAGATTGCCCGAGATTGCTCGCGGCGCGCATCAAGGCGCGCAAGAGACGGCGTGTGTTGGTCCACCGGTCCACCCTCCCTGCACACTGAACAGGCGCAAGGCGACGTGCTCGCGGTGGCGCTCTCCTCGTCTGGCTCGCTGCTCGCCATCGGAGGGGAGTGTACTGCCCACCTGTTTTTCTTTTTTAGCGGCCTGTTTTCTTTTCCCTAGGCTCGCTGCTCGCCATCGGAGGGGAGTGTACTGCCCACGTGTTTTCTTTTTTAGCGGCCTGTTTTCTTTTCCCTAGGCTCGCTGCTCGCCATCGGAGGGGAGTGTACTGCCCACGTGTTTTTCTTTTTTAGCGGGCTGTTTTCTTTTTCCTAGGCTCGCTGCTCGCGATCGGAGGGGAGTGTACTGCCCACGTGTTTTTCTTTTTTAGCGGCCTGTTTTCTTTTCCCTAGGCTCGCTGCTCGCCATCGGAGGAGAGTGGAACCTGGCGGAGGTGCACGCGCTGACCCCGCTCGAGAGCCGGCAGATCGCGACCTTTCGCTTGCGCGCCATCGACGTGGGCGGGGTGGTGCACTCGCTGGCCTTTGCGCCGTTCGCCGACAGCGCCGGCCCCGCCTCGGGCTTCTCGCCGCCTCCCTCCCCCGCCCCCTTTTCGGTGTGGGGCTCGCTGCACTCCCGCCCGCCGCCCGCCGCCCCCGCCGCCCCCGACCTACTCCGCCTCGCCATCGGCTCGTCCGACGCCACGCACACGTGGCGAATCCAAGTCGGCAGAGCTGTGAACAGCGTCTCTTCACACCTCTTGCTGTGAGCAGGCACACGTGGAGAATCCAAGTCGGCAGAGCTGTGAACAGCGTCTCTTCACACCTCTTGCTGTGAGCAGGCACACGTGGAGAATCCAAGTCGGCAGAGCTGTGAACAGCGTCTCTTCACACCTCTTGCTGTGAGCAGGCACACGTGGAGAATCCAAGTCGGCGCGCAGGCACGCGCCGCTATCGACGCCGGCGCGCGCAACTCGGCCGCCGACGCCGCCGCGCGCCGGCCGAGGACGCCGCCGCCGAGCCCGCCGAAGCAGCGGCGGGCGCGGAGACGCGGAGGCGACGCAGGCGCGCCTCACTTCGAGCCTCTCCTCACGACGCCGCACACGGCGAGGCAGGGCGGCGTCGCATTCTCGGGCGACGGCGAGACGCTCGCCATCGCCGGCGAGCATGCCGTCACGCTGCTCGACTGTCATTATTATTATTATTATTATTATTATTATTATTAGGCGAGCATGCCGTCACGCTGCTCGACTGTCATTAGTTGTTGTTGTTGTTGTTGTTGTGATTATTATTATTATTATTAGGCGAGCACGCCGTCACGCTGCTCGACTACTACTACTACTACTACTACTGCTACTATTATTATGATTATTATTAGGCGAGCACGCCGTCACGCTGCTCGACTACTACTACTGCTACTATTATTATGATTATTATTAGGCGAGCACGCCGTCACGCTGCTCGACTCGGACACGGGCGCGACGGTGCGGCAGGCAAAGCACCGGCGCAGGCTGCGCTGCGTCGCCCTCTCGTCGGACGGCGGGCTACCCTAGAGGACCCGAGAGGACCCGAGAGGACCCGAGAGGACCCGAGATGCGCCCTCCCGTCGGACGGCGGGCTGCTCGATATCTCCCCACATCTCCCCACATCTCCCCATATGCCCTCTCGTCGGAGGGCGGGCTGCGGGTGTGGCTATCGCGGCGGCTTCGGCCAGCCCTGAGTGAGTCAGACGCCGACTAGGCGGGCTGCTGCTCGTGGGGGGCGAACCCTCCCCTACCCTCACATGAACAAATCCCCCCCAGGCGGGCTGCTGCTCGTGGGAGGCTTCGACCAGCTCGTCCGCATGTACCCGGTGCAGACGCGCACCGACGATGAGCCAATGAGTCATGGACTGGTCGGTACACGACCATCAGTCATCAACAGGTGCGGGCGGGCACCGACTTTGTGGTCTACAAGGGCCTCTCCACGAGCGGGGGAGGGGGCGTCGGCGCGAGCTTGGGCGGCTCCTCCTCGCTCACCTCCTTTGTTGGCGGCGGCGGCGGCCCGCGCGGCACCGTTTACCTCGAGGCGATGGCCGTGGCTCTGTCCGCGTGCAGCTCGCTTGTGGTGCTGGCCGGAGGGCTTAAGGGCGGCGACATCGGCTATGTCTCCGTCTTCGACGCGCGGGCCGACGGGCCGGTCTGCTCCCCCGAGTAAGCAGCCGTGAATGAGCCGAATGAATGCACTGAGCAGGCGCGGACGGACGAGCTGGTCTGCTCCTTGCGCGCCACCAAGCAGGTGCGCGTCGCGACGTTCTCTGCGGACGGCCGCTTCCTCGCCTTCGGCGGCTTCGACGAGCGAGTCACCATCATCACACACCTGCCGGTCCGAGGCCGCGACGGGGAGATCGAGCGGCTCTCGCTGCACGAGCTGACGGCGCGGCTCTCCGGCGCCGCGAGGGGAGGCGACGCGTCGGAGCCCCCTGCTACGACTCGCGTCGCCCCCTCACTAGTGGTTGGCTAACAGGCGACGCGTCGGAGCCCCCCTCGCCCGACGGCGACGGCGCGGCGCGCTCTCCCGCGACGCGAAAGAGCGCGCCCACCGTCATCAGCGGCTCCCCGCCCGCCCTCGGCCGAGACTCGTCCGACTTCAGCGCGCCCCTCCGCCTCTACCGCGCGTCCTTAGTGAATTAGTGAATTAGTTAATTAATTCATTAATCAATAGGCGCGCCCCTCCGCCTCTACCGCGCGTCCTTAGTGAATGAGTGAATTAATTAATTAATTAATTAATCAATAGGCGCGCCCCTCCGCCTCTACCGCGCGTCGCTCGCCGACAGCAGCGACGCCGCCCGCCCGTCGGACGAGGCGGGAGATTCGTCGAGATAGCGCGCGAGATGCCTCGAGATAGCGCGCGAGATGCCTCGAGATAGCGCGCGAGATGACTCGAGATAGCGCGGGAGATGCCTCGAGATAGCGCGCGAGATGACTCGAGATAGCGCGCGATATGCCTCGAGATAGCGCGCGAGATGACTCGAGATAGCGCGCGAGATTCCTCGAGATCACCGGCGAGATTCCTCGGGATTGCGGCGAGCGACGAGCTTCGCGCCCCCCCAGGCGGCCAGCGATGAGCATCTACCCTCGAGGAATCTCGCCGGTAATCTCGAGGAATCTCGTCGCTCGGTAGGCGGCCAGCGATGAGCAGGTGTCGCCCAAGAGCTGCGCCGCGCCCGCCTCGCTGCGGCCAACCACGGCGTCGCTCCCCCGCTCGCCGCTAAACCGCGCGCCGTCGCTGCTCGCGCCCCTAGAAGCGAAGCGCGTATTCCAACTAGCAACTGGCGAGAGGGCAGCGATTCCGCTGCATTCGGCCGTCCCCCGCTGCACTCGCTGTGTCTGTGTCGCTCGTAGCGTCGCACCGTCGCTCGTTCGACTCTCCAGCACCGCCCCCCGGCCCCGAGGAGTCCTCGGCACACTCAGGCTTGCGCCGGCCAAGGAGCCCCCGCCCGACTTGCCGGCCGCCGAGGAGTGCTCGCGCACGCTCGACTTCAGCGCGTCCGCCCGCCGCCCCGCCTTCATCTGGTCGCTCAGCTTCTCGGGCAGCAGGCCGAGACACGTCCGAGACACGTCCGAGACGCGTCCGAGACACGTCCGAGACACGTCCGAGACACTTCCGAGACACCTCCGAGACACTTCCGAGACACCTCCGAGACACGTCCGAGACACGTCCGAGACACGTCCGAGACACTTCCGAGACACTTCCTAGACGCCTCCGAGACACCTCCGAGACACCTCCGAGACACTTCCGAGACACGTCCGAGACACGTCCGAGACACGTCCGAGACACTTCCGAGACGCTTCCGAGACACGTCCGAGACACCTCCCAGACACGTCCGAGACACCTCCCAGACACTTCCGAGACACGTCCTCCGTGCAGGCGCCGCCGCTCGGCCGACGCCGGGGAAGGAAGCGACGAAGACGAGTCCGGCCGCGACGGGCCGTCCGCTTTCGCTGTCGCTTCGTGGGACGGCTCCGCACACATCTACCACGTCTCCAAGGAGGGGACCTTCTCGCTCGCTTGCCGCATCGGCCGGTCGGACCGCGTGTACTGCGTCTCCCTCTCGGTGAGCGGCGGAATCGGCTGTGATCTCGGGGGATCTCGGCGGATATCGGCTGTGATCTCGGCTGTGATCTCGGCTGTGATCTCGGCTGTGATCTCGGGTGTGATCTCGGGTGATCTCGGGTGTGATCTCGGGTGTGGTCTCGGGTGTGATCTCGGGTGTGATCTCGGGTGTGATCTCGGCAGGTGAGCGGCGGCCTCGTCGCGGTCGGAGGCCGCGACTCTGCCATCGGGCTGTACGACATCCGGCCGGATCGCCGCCCCCCCTCGCGCGGCGGTCTGGCGGGGCTGCGCGAGCCGTCGCTGTCGGACTCCTTCTCGCCGTCCGCCGGCTGCGCGCCCTCGGGAGGCACGGGTCGCGGGGCGGGCGGGGCGGGTCGCGGTTCGTGCCTTGGCGCGGACGAGCTGGAGCCGCTCTGGCTGGCGCAGTGCAACGAGTTTGTGTGCGCACGCTCTCGCCTATGGGTTCGGGTACTGTGGGGGGAGGGTAAGCCACGCATTCGTGTGCCCACAGGTACGCGTGCACGCTCTCGCACGAGGCGACCGCGCCGCGCTTCTGCGTGCACGGCGGGCCGGACAAGCAGCTGACCGTGCGTGACGCGTCCACCGGCCGCGTGCTGCACGAGCTCCCCATCGGAGGGACGGTGTGGTGCCTGTCGATTGGCCCCGCGAACCGGTGCGCGGTGTCGGGCGAGTTCCAGCTGGTGCAGGTCGTCGACCTTGAGAGCGCTGGCCTCGTGCTCTCGCTGCCCCACACGGGCGAGAACCCGTCCTACTCGGTGGCGCTGACCGAGTCGGCGGTCATCTACACGCAGGAGAACACGTGCGTCCGCTACGGGAGAGACGGCTCGACGTACGGCTGGGGCGACCCTTCCTAGACACCTCCCAGACACCTCCTAGACACCTCCTAGACACTTCCTAGACACCTCCCAGAGACGGCTCGACGTACGGCTGGGGCGACTTGCCCTTCCGCGGCGCCGGCCAGTTGGTCAGGGGTGAATGGACGCATGCATGCATGGGCAACTAGGTGACTTGCCCTCGTACGCGGCGCTAGCCAAGCTCGTCCGCATGCCGATGGCCAAGAACATCCACGCGGGGTGGGCGGCGCCGTCACCCTACCCCCACAGTACCCAGCGCCAGTCACCCGACCCCCGCAGTACCCAAACCAAGGTGGGCGTCGCTCCGCTCGCTCGCGCTGCTGCAGCCGTGGCTGATCAACTGCCGCGAGCAGAGCAGCGGAGCAACCTTCCTCCAGCTCGCAGTCACTCACGGCGTGGACGGGGCGATGCTGGACACGCTGCTGGCCGAGGCGAGAGGACCCGAGAGGGCGCGAGATTGCGCGAGATTGCGCGAGAGGAGCCGAGATGCTGGACACGCTGCTGGCCGAGGCGAGAGGACCCGAGAGGGCGCGAGATTGCGCGAGATTGCGCGAGAGGAGCCGAGATGCTGGACACGCTGCTGGCCGAGGCGAGAGGACCCGAGAGGGCGCGAGATTGCGCGAGATTGCGCGAGAGGAGCCGAGATGCTGGACACGCTGCTGGCCGAGGCGAGAGGACCCGAGAGGGCGCGAGATTGCGCGAGATTGCGCGAGAGGAGCCGAGATGCTGGACACGCTGCTGGCCGAGGCGAGAGGACCCGAGAGGGCGCGAGATTGCGCGAGATTGCGCGAGAGGAGCCGAGATGCTGGACACGCTGCTGGCCGAGGCGAGAGGACCCGAGAGGGCGCGAGATTGCGCGAGATTGCGCGAGAGGAGCCGAGATGCTGGACACGCTGCTGGCCGAGGCGAGAGGACCCGAGAGGGCGCGAGATTGCGCGAGATTGCGCGAGATGGGCCGAGAGGAGCCGAGATGCGCCGAGACGCTGCCTCGCCTCACCGAGATTGTGCGAGATCACCGAGATTGTGCGAGATGACAGGTGCCGATCATCGGGCTGCTGCGCGCGCACCACCCGGAGCGTGTCGGGGGCGGCGCGGCCTCAGCTTGGCACGCGGCGCTCGACCAGCGGTCCGACATCTGGGTGTCGCGCCTCGTGCAGGCGGCGGTGAGCTGTGGACGGCGTCTCTTCACGGCGGTGGTGTGAACAGGTGTCGCGCCTCGTGCAGGCGGTGGTGAGCGGGCGGGTGTACGCCACGCCCGCCGCCATGTCTCCCATCGCAGAGACGTTTGGCGCGCTCGCGCGGAAGTTCCCGCGGCAGTACCTCCGCCTCCTCTCGGAGATGCCTCTGGCCTTCGAGGACTCGTGCAGGCTCCGCTCGCCGCACACACGCCGGCTGCAGGTCGAGGTCTGCGGCTCGCGCAGGTTTCTGCTCGACGGGTGGTGGGAGGACCACTACGCCGCCTCGGGGCTCAACTTTGGCTTCTCGCCGCGCGCGCTGCTCGCCTGGGCGCACTCATGGACCGCGCACCTAGAAGAAGAAGAGCCTCACAGCCCACCCAGTAGCAGACGGAAGCAAGGAGGCGGGCTCCTCACCTTCCAGCCTGCTCGGCGGTCTCCAGCCGTAGCCACTGCACTCGCCTCCCTCCCAGCCACTTGGCGCTCTGAAGGCTAACACTGCACAGCGCCGTCTCCCCCGCCCCCGAGGCCAGTGTCCTCAGCTCGTAGGATCGCGGAGCCGGACAAGCTTCGCCGCCGCACGATCTATGCCGACGGCGGGCTCCGCGCAGGCAACTCTGGCCGCGGGGAGCGGCGGCGTGAACAGCGTCGGTTCACACCCCCTGCTGTGGATAGGCAACTCTGGCCGCGGGGAGCAGTGGTGGTCGGTGGAGGCCCTCGTGTGCTCGCTGCTGGTGCGGCTGCGCGACTGCTGGGTCGCGTGTTGCTGTGCCGTCTGCCGCCGCTGCTGCGAGGAGGAGGAGGCGGCCGATTCGCCCGGAGGGCAGCGGGGGGGCGGCGGGGGCAGAGGCGGAGGCTTGCGCACGACGGGCGGAGCTAGCGCGGGGCAGTACAGGTGCGGGCCCGTTTTGAGGGCAATCTCGGGCAATCTCGGGCAATCTCGGGCAATCTCGGGCAATGTCGGGCAATCTCGAGTCCTCTCGCCTGCGGTGCCGCCCAGGCAAGTGGAGGGCGGCGCCGCCTCCTCGCCGCACCACAGGGTTGGAAGCCTCTTCCGCTCGCTCGCGCTGCTGCAGGGCGCCGTCGACCAGCAGAGGCGCCCGCCCGCCCCGCAGAGATCCCCCCTCCCCCCAGATCGTCCGCCAGGCTCTCCCCGAGATCACCCGAGATGACCCGAGATGACCCCAGAGGACACGAGAGGACACCAGATGGCCCGAGAGGACCCGAGAGTGCCAGCACCGGCCGCCAGGTCCGGCTACGCCGTGCTCACCGAGTCAACCCCCCCTCCCTCCTCCCGGAGACGCAAGCGCGGCGCCGACGGCACCACCACGCACGAGCGCAAGGGGGGCCGCTCGCCGCCCCTCTCGCGCGACGCCTCCGCCGTCTCCGACCCCGCCTCCGCCTCCTCCAACGCCTCGGCCGCCGAGATGGCGGCCGTGGCGCGCGTGCAGCAGGTTCCCCTTCTGCCCGCCCCCACCCTTGTCGTCGTCGTCGACGGCGTGGTCGGCGCGACTGCTCCTCTTGTCGCGTGGACGCAGGTCCCCTTTTGTGAGTTTGCCATATCTCCCCATATCTCCCCATATCTCCCGCAGGTCCCCTTTTGTGAGTTTGCCGGCTTCGCCACCAACCACCTCGCACTCATCGTCGACGCGTCCATCGCCACCGGCGACATGCATGAGACACTTCCTAGACACTTCCTAGACACTCCCTAGACACTTCCTAGACACCGGCGGCATGAGACTACCCGATATTCCACGAGATTACCCGAGATCCATCGCGACCGGCGACATGCATCGCCTTCAAGCCGCCGTCGGGAGCAGTGAGGGGTAGACAGTGAGGGTTGGAGACAGGCGACCGCACCGTCTTCAAGTCGCCGTCGGTCGAGGCCCTCCTCCACTTCAAGTGGCGCGCCTTCGGCTCCGTCCTCTGCCGGCTGCACGCGCGCGGGACACGTCCACGACATGTCCACGACACGTCCCCCAGGCGCGCCTTCGGCTCCGTCCTCTGGCGGCTGCACGCGCGCGGGACACGTCCACGACATGTCCACGACGCGTCCCCCAGGCGCGCCTTCGGCTCCGTCATCTGGCGGCTGCACGCGCGCGGGACACGTCCACGACATGTCCACGACACGTCCCCCAGGCGCGCCTTCGGCTCCGTCATCTGGTGGCTGCACACGGCGCTCTGGCTCTCGTACACGCTCGCGACCGCCGTCTTTGCGTACGCCGCGACGTACTACTTCACAGACTCGCAGTCGGCATGGAAGGAGACCCGCGTCTCGCCCCCGCCCGCGCCCCGCTCCGCCAACGGAGCGGTGTGGCTCAGCCCGTCCCTCCCCGGCGGGTAGGCGATGCCTTTCTCGTTCCGCGCCCCGTACGACTACTTCATGGACGAGGACGCCCCACTGATGGACGAGCTGCAGGACTGCGCCAAGAAGTTTGGCTTCCCGCTCCTTCCCAAGCCGCCGGGCGGCCAGCGGACGGAGCGCGCCCCGAGACACTTCCTAGACACCTCCTAGGCACCTCCTAGACACCTCCCAGACACCTCCTAGACACCTCCTACTAGACACTTCCCAGACACCTCCTAGACACCTCCTAGACACTTCCTAGACACCTCCCAGACACCTCCCAGACACCTCCTAGACACCTCCTACTAGACACTTCCCAAGCCGCCGGGGCGGGCAGCGGACGGAGCGCACCCTAGCGGTATATCTCCCCATATCTCCCCAGATCTCGGGCCCTAGAAGCGGAACGCGCATTCTCGTACTGCAACCAGCGCTTCGAGAGGACACGCACTCCGCCATACTCGGCCGTGTTCCGAGGTTGGCGTCCTCAGCACGTAGGCTGCCCATATCTCCCCATATCTCCCCATATCTCCCCATATCTCCCGCCCCGAGGCTGGCGGACTCAGCACGTAGGCTGCCCATATCTCCCCACATCTCCCCATATCTCCCCATGTAGGCGCGCGACCACTGCGTCTTCTACCTCATCCTCGCCCTCGTCTCCTCGCTGACCTCGCTCGCCCTCGGCGCACTCGTCGTCTTCATCAGCACGGCTGTTAGTTCGCAAGGGTCAGCTGTTCTGGGTCTCGCAGGCGTCGTCTTCTTCTTCATCAACACGATGTACATCGTCGTGTCGGTGCGCGAGGGCAAGACGCACCTCTCCTACCAGTACGCGACCAAGGCGGCTTGATGAGAGATGGGGAGAGATGGGGAGATGTGCACCTCTCCTACCAGTGCCAGTACGCGACCGAGGCGGCTTGATGAGGGGGTTAGTGGGGGGGAGGAGGGATCGGCCACCGAGGCCGAGAGACGAGCCCTGCCGTGTGCGACCAGGCGGCCGTCATCCGCTTCTTCTACGTGGTGATGCAGCTGCTGGGCCTCGCCGTGGTCCATTTCGGCGCCTCCATGGACCAGGGGCTGCTCGGCCCCGAGGTCACGCGCATGCTGCTCGCGATTGGGATGGGGCTGCAGTGGGTGGAGCCGATCCGCATCCTCACGCGCCGCCCCGAGTTGACGAAGCAGTTGATTCGTTTCATGACGAGTGAACTAGGTGGAGCTGATCCGCATCCTCACGCGCCACCCCGAGTTCGGCGAGCTGTACCAGATGGCGAGAAGCGCCCATCTCGCAGAGACGCCCCTCGCGGCCGGCGGTGAGCGCCGTCTGGCGGGGTAGGTGATCGAGACCTTCTCGCAGACGCGGTACTTCATCTACTTCATGCTGATGGTGACGTGCATGGGCTCGCTCACGCTCGGGCTGCTGCTCTTCGACGTGCACACCGTCATCGACTACCCGCCCGACATGGACTACTCGTCCGAGATGCTGCTGCTCGACGAAAAGTACGAGCAGACCGCGACGGGCACCATCGACCTGTGGTACAACTTTGGCGACATCTTCCGCTCGTTCCACTCGACGATCGACATCTTCTTCTTCGGCACCAAGAGCGACGCCGTCGAGTCCGCCCTCCTCGAGGTGCCCCCGCGCATACCTCCCCCATATCTCCCCCTCTCTCATGGTCCGCCCTCTCCTCGAGGTGCATATCTCCCCATATCTCCCCACATCTCGTGGTCCGCCCTCTCCTCGAGGTGCTGCCCGCGCGCTACATCGCGATGGGCCTCCAGATCTTCAGCCAGGTCGTGCTGCTCAACCTGCTGATCGCAAAGATCAACGACGCCTACGCAAAGATCAAGGCGCCGTCGCCCGTCGGACTGTTCTTACTGTTCTCGGCGTCTCACCCTGTTCTGTCGTTCTCGCAGGCGTCGTCGCTCCTCTCCTCCAACTTCCAGCAGGCGCTCATCCTCATCGAGTACGAGATCATCGCCCAGGCCCTCTTCTCCACCCGCGGCGGCCGCTGGCCGCGCTGGCTGCACATCTGCATGCCGCCGGCCGAGCCGCCCGAGCGGGACCGGATCACCGACCTGCACGAGGAGCTGCAGACGGTGCGCGAGGCGAACGCGCGCCTCGAGGCGGCGCTCGAGGCGATCGCGGCGGGGCAGGCGACGCAGGAGGCGTCGATGCGGCGGCTCGAGGCGCTCGTCCGGGCGGCGGCGGAAAGCTAGTAGGAGGCGGCGAAGGCGCGCCCGGGCGATGGAGTTCAGGCTTCAGGGGCCCGTGGGCGACAGATCTGCAACGGTGAACGGGTTGACGTTCGTCCTCCTGTGTTTCGTTCTTTCCGTGGGCAATCTGGTAGACGTATCTCTCTGTTTTTTTACTCTGTCGTGGCACACGAAGTAGAGTACTCTCCCGAGCTCACAAATCGGGCCGATAGTCATAAAAAGCCGTACACCCTTTAGTGATTGGGCAGACAAGCAAGTGCTCGAACTTTACCGGTATGGGAGTTTTTGGCTAATCAAACCCTAGGCCTGCACTAATCAAATGAAAAAGTGGTATGGGATACCACCTGCCTCACGGAAACCAAAGCGAGTCCGAGTGCATTTTTGCGGCTAAATAAATCGGCGAAATCGGCAAAATACCCGGTATTTTGCGGGTATACCTGCAAAAACCCAGGTATACCCGGGTAATACCCGCACTTTTGCATGGCTTCGCCTCCTGGGACCACACACCCACAGCCGCTACACTAATCAACACTCCGCATACGGCTCTACCACTTTCGCATACCACTATACCATACCACTTCAAAGTTAATCAAAATATCACCAAATACCGGTCTCATACCGGTAAAGTTCGAGCACTGTAAGGGCAGAGCGCGAGCCGCCGTGTTTTCGTGTGCGCCGTGTGGCGCCCCGCACACGGGCTGCGCGCTGGCGCTGTCCAATTTGTGGATCCATACGATACCTTACGTTATCAAACCTTCTGCACACAACGTCGCAAACTATTGATGTCGTGACGTGTGCGACTGCGCCGTGGCCGCGGCGCCTGGCCGGGGTGGCCCGACGGAGGTCATGATGCGCTCCCCGCCTCTCCGCTCCGCGCTCCGCCTCTGCGGGGGTCCCTGCCGGCTCCCCGTTGCACTAACTACATCATATTACCCCCCCCCCCCCCCTCTCCCCCCCTTCACGCCCCCTCGCGCCCCTTGCGATCCGCTTTGGGTGAGCAACCTGGAGATATGTGCGAGGTATCGAGCGCGCATTCCAACAACACGGGCCCGCCCAGGAGAGTCGGGGTGACGGGATGTCGAGTGGAGGCGGGGGGGGCACAGCGACCTAGTGAGCAGCACCCTTGACGCGGGATACTTGGACTCGGTGCCGCGAGGATGACCAAACGAGAGGTCACAGAGGGCCAGCTTAAAAGCCCGGGACGAACTGAGCGAGGTAGCCCTTGGCGACGCTAACGACGTTGGCCTTGGCATCCTCCTTCGCGTCGCTCGCCGCTCCCTCGGCCTTTTCGAATGCGGCTACCGCGTACTGCTGGCCGCGCGTCCCGCCGTGCTCCTTTGCCATTTGCAGGGCCTTGTCTTTGCCGCGCAGGTAGCTGCTCTTGCTCAGGCGGCTCACCTCCTCGGTGTCCACCGTGTGCTCGTACAGCTCCGGACGCGTCCTGACGTTCCAGGTCACGTCGCTGACCGTGCCTGTGCCGCTCTTGCGGCGCGGGCACGAGTGCATGTGCTTGACCGTCCCCGCGGCTTTCTTCTCCGTCACCTCCTCCTCCTCCTCCTCCTCCTCCTCCTCCTCCTCCTCCTTGGTCGGCTTGGCCGCCTTCTTCATTCCCTCTTCCATCTTGTCCATGAGCTCCTCTCCCTTTGGCAGCATCTCGCGGACTGAGTCGCCGACGGACTCCACCGATCCGACCTCCGAGGTGACGCTCTTGCACGCGTCTTGGGCAACCTCGACGTAGGAGGGAGTTTTGAGGAAGTCCCAAAAGCCGCGCCAAGTTGCGGAGCGCGGCATGCCATCGGGGCCGACGAGCGACTTGAGAACCTTCAGGTACCGCAAGTAAGCGAGGCCGCCGAAGGTTCCCAGCGATCCGAGGGCCGTCATCAGCACGGAGAGGAGGACCTTCCACCATTCCCCGCATTCCTCACCGGGAGGCGGCGGCGAGGGCGGGTAGTTGGGCGGCGAGGGCGGCGGTGGCGAGGGCGGGTAGTTGCACTCCGGAGGGTATTCCGAGCCCGAGGTGCAGACATCGGGAAGGGCGGGCAGGGGGCAGGCAAAGTGGTTGGTGCCGCCCAGGTTGCAGTACGGCGAGAAATCCCACCCCGACGGCGGGGTGCCCGTGGATGTGTACGGAGGGATGGTGCCCGAGATGAGGTTGTCGTACAGATTAAGACCACCCAAGGTGTAAAGCATGCTCATCTCCGCAGGGATGGTGCCCGAGATGGAGTTGCGGTCCAGCTCAAGAACAGTCAGGTTGTAGAGCTTGCCTGTCTCCGGAGGGATGGTGCCCGAGATGGAGTTGCGGAACAGGTGAAGGTGCGCCAGCTGCGAGAGCTTGCTCGTCTCCGCAGGGATGGTGCCCGAGATGGAGTTGCCGTTGAGGTAAAGCCTGTCCAGCTGCGAGAGCTTGCCCGTATCCGGAGGGACGGTGCCCGAGATGGAGTTGTCGTGCAGCTCAAGGATCTTCAGCTGCGAGAGCTTGCTCGTCTCCGCAGGGATGGTGCCCGAGATGGAGTTGCCGTTCAGCTCAAGGATCTTCAGCTGCGAGAGCTTGCTCGTCTCCGCAGGGACGGTGCCCGAGATGGAGTTGCCGTGCAGCTCAAGGATCTTCAGCTGCGAGAGCTTGCTCGTCTCCGCAGGGATGGTGCCCGAGATGAGGTCGTCGTGCAGAGAAAGGGTTCCCAGCTGCGAGAGCTTGCCCATATCCGGAGGGATGGTGCCCGAGATGGGGTTGCTGTGCAGGATAAGGTACGTCAGCTGCGAGAGCTTGCCCGTGTCCGGAGGGATGGTGCCCGAGATGGAGTTGTCGTGCAGGTCAAGGATCTTCAGCTGCGAGAGCTTGCTCGTCTCCGCAGGGATGGTGCCCGAGATGGAGTTGCCGTTCAGGTAAAGCCTGTCCAGCTGCGACAGCTTGCTCGTATCCGGAGGGACGGTGCCCGAGATGGAGTTATACTGCAGTTCAAGCCGCTCCAGCTGCGAGATGTCGCCCAACTGCGGAGGGATCGTCCCCGACAGCCCTCCGTAGCCCAGATACACATCGGTGCCCGTGAAGTTGCCGTCGCACAGCGACGTGCCGTACACGGCGGTAGGGCAGCCGGAGAAGCAGGCAACGTTGTTGTTGCAGATCGTGCCCGCGGCCTCGCTCATCAGCAGCAGCGGACGCGTCTCGCGGCTCCGCGATGGCCGTACCTGCGGTGGGAGGGTGCAGGCGGTTCGAGCCGAGGGGGGGGGCGCGGCCGCTGCGGCGAGCGAGAGCGCATCGCTCGGCGGGAGCGGTGCGGACGCGGCGGGCTCCGCGGGCGATAGGCGTCGCGGGGATCCAGGTGTGCAGCTTGCGGCTGCTATCGTCTGCGCGAGAGCGTGCATGGCTTCGTGCATGGCAAACCTTGCCAGGCCACAGCCTCGGCAATCGCGAGAGGGGAACGTGCCGAGGTGTGGGCGCCCTTTTTGGGCGAGGGCGGTGAAAAGCTCGTGGGTGCACTTGGAGCACTTGGAGTGCAGTCATCAACCGCACATCCAGGGCCGGGGAGCTAAGAAGCGCACCCAGCGGGCCGGATGATTGGCATCGGGTTGCGGGCAAGAGAGCCCTAGCCCCGGGGGTGCGCGTTCGCAGGGAAAGGGCCTTAAAGTAAACACAGGTCTCCGAGGGTTGGTTCCGTGTACCGGGTTTCCCCTTAACTTCAGAACGCCCCCTCTACTCGGAGCTAGTAGACATGACACTGTACACCACTCACGTACACCGGTCCTCACTCAGCATCCCGTCTCAGGGTTCCTCCGCGCGATTTCCCGGGGCTCCGGTTCTCCCTGATTCGCTCTTTTATTCGCCAGCCGAGCGTCGCCTGACGGCCGCTGTAGCCGTTTCTGATGTCTCTTCTTTGGCCCGTTTTTCACTTTTTTGTGGGGCAGAGACAGGCTGCAGCCGCGCGAGCAGCTTCACGCGCCGCCATGAAGGTGAGCGCCGCAGCTGCGGCCGCGGCAGTAGTAGTGGCGGCGGCGGGCGCCGCCGCCGCACACCGCCCACTCGCCCTTGGCCGGCTCCTGCTCGTCGCTGCGCGCCGTCGCGCGCCGAGCCGGCCGGGGCCCGTTTCTCTCACGTGCTTCTGACCCTGCGTGACCCCCCCCCGCTCGCGTCCGCAGCTCGTCCGCTTCCTCATGAAGCTCTCCAACGAGACGGTCACCATCGAGCTCAAAAACGGCACGATCGTCAGCGGCACAGTGGCGGGCGTCGACGTCTCGATGAACACGCACTTGAAGCATGTCAAAATGACGCTCAAGGGCGAGCGAAACCCCCGCGCCGCCACCCTCGCCGCTTTTCCGCCACCACCCCTCCACCCCCGCTGGCCTCCTCGCCGTCGCCGCCCCCCTGTCGCCGCCGCCGCCGCCGCCGCCGCCGTCGCCGCCGCCGCCTCCTCCTCCGCCGCCGCTTGCCCTTCTCACGCCTCCCGCCGCGGGCAGGGCGCAACCCGGTGAGCCTGGACACGCTGTCGATCCGCGGCTCCAACGTGCGCTATTTCATCCTTCCCGACTCACTCAACCTCGACACGCTTCTCGTCGACGACACGCCGAAGCTCGTGCAAAAGTGCGC